GAGGAGTGAAGCAGAAAATGACAAGACTGAGCACATGAGCCATCATCCACTGCCTCCCAGGATACATTAGCCAGAAGCTGGACCAGAAACAAAGCAGGTGGGACTCAAAAGTCACTCCATTATCAGATACAGACATCCCAGGAACCATGATACCAGCCTCCAGTGTTCCTTTTAACTATTGCCAACATTTTCTGCACATTATAATTCACTGGCACTGAAGGGAGAAACCCCTTTAATTCCTCTATGGGAGCTGGTTCTGTGGTATGGCAAGTTAAGCTGCTGTCTGTGACACCAGCATCCTATATGTGCACAGCTTTAAGTCCCAGCTGTCCACCTTCAATACAGCTCTCTGCTAATGGGCCTAGAATAAGCAGAGGACAGCCCAAGCGCTTGGGTACCTTGTTACCCCTGAGAACTGTGATGAAGCTCTTAGCTCCTGGCTTTACCCTGACGTAGGCCTGGCTTTTGGGGCTATCTGGGAGGGAACCAATGGATGGAAGATCTCTCTCTCTTTCTAAAATACATAAATCTTTATTTAAAAAAAAAAAAGAAGAAGAAGAAAAACCTGACATCTTCTCACTCTTTGACAGGAAATGAAACCCTATTAGCACCGGGTCAGACACATTTGCCAGTCATCCACCCAGCAAAAACTCCTAAATACCCACCAAATGCCAGGCGTCTGGAGCAGGGTCCAGCACTGAGGCAAAGGAGGTTAAACTGCCACCTGGAATGCCAGCATCCCACGTGAGCTCAAATCCCGGTGCTCCACGTCTGACCCAGCTCATCAGGAATGCATCTAGGAAGGCAAAAGATGACCTAAGGACCTGAGCCCTGTCACCCATGTGGGAGACCAGAACGACATTCCACCCAGCCCAGATCCAACCGCTGTGGTATTTAGGAAGTAAGCCAGCAGAAAGTGCTCGCTCACTCTTTCTGCAACTCTCCCTTCAAATGAGTAAACTTTAAGGGGGGAAGGGGGAGAGAAAGTAAGGCAGAAACTGAACACATTACACAAAACTGTCATTATAGACACCATCAAAAGGGCCCGACGCAATGGTTCAACTGGCTAATCCTCCCCCTTCAAGTGCCAGGATCTCGTTCATGGGCACCAAATTACGTCCTGGCTGCTCCATTTCACATCCAGCTCCCTGTTAGTGGCCTGGGAAAGCAGTAGACCTTGGGACCCTGCATCCATATGGGAGATCTGGAAGAAACTCCTGGCTTCAGATCAGCTCAGCTCTAGCCAGTGCAGCCACTTGGGGAGTGAACAGGCGGACGGAAGATTTTTCTCTCTTTCCTTCCCTCTGTATATCTGCCATTCAAATAAAAATAAATAAATCTTTAAAAAAAAAAAAATTGGGCCTGGCACAGTAGCTTAGCAGCTAAAGTCCTCGCCTTCCTTGGGACCCTGCATCTGCATGGGAGCCAGGAAAAAGCTCCTGGCTTTGGATCAGTTGAGCTAGGGCCATTGTGACCACTTGGGGCATGACCCAGTGGACAGAAGTTCTTCCTCTCTCTCTTCCTCTTCACTTCTGACTTTCCAGTAAAATAAATAAATAAATAAATAAAATGGGCTCAGCATGCGAGCCTAGTGGCTAAAGTCCTCGCCTTGCATGTGCCCATATGGGCATCGATTCTAATCCCGGCAGCTCCTCTTTCCATCCAACTCTCTGCTTGTGGCCTGGGAAAGCAGTCAAGGACGGCCCAAAGCCTTGGGAACCTGCACCTGCATGGGAGACCCAGAAGAAGCTCCTGGTTTCAGATTGGCTCAGCTCCAGCCATTGTAGCCACTTGGGGAGTGAATCATTTGACGGAAGATCTTCCTCTCTCTCTTCCTCTCTGTATATCTGACTTTCAAATAAAAATAAAATAAATCTTAAAAAATAATAAATAATTTGAAAAATTAAATTTAAAATTATTATTATTATTTTTAAAGAGAGCAAACTGAGAAAATTAGGGATGATCAGAAGAAAGAACGGACGGGAATCCCAGAGCTGCAGTCCCGGTGTTATCTCATTCAATCTGCATCTAACTTTAGCTTCAGTAACTTTCCCATGGTCCCAGGAGTACTCAGTGTCAGACTTGGACATGAACTGATCGCTAGTCCACGGTTTTCCCAGCACACCATGCTGCCCCAGAAAGCTGATGACCAAGTGTTGGCTCTCCCGCAGATTCTAAGCATTCACTCTGTCTTCCAGACTAGATCTTCTGTGTTTCACCTGCCAGCCCAACCTCATTCTAACAGATGTCTAGATTAGGGATGCTAATAAATTTGATTTGTTCACCGAAGCCATAACGAGCATAAGGAAAAAACACATTCAAAGTTGGTCACATTATCACTCTGTTGTACTGCAAATAAAATACAAAGCTATCTGTTAAAGTTTATATATATATATATATATATTTTTTTTTTCTTGGAAAGACAGATTTACAGAGAGGAGATACGAAGAGAAAGACCTTCCATCCGCTGCTTCACTCCCCAAGTGGCCACAACAGCCAGAGCTAAGCTGATCCAAAGCCAGGAGCCAGAAGCTTCCTCAGGATTCCCCAAATGGGTGCAGGATCCCAAGGCTTTGGGGCCATCCTGGACTGCTTTCCCAGGTCACGAGCAGGAAGCTGGATTGGTTAGAAGAGCAGCTGGGACACAAACTGGTATCCACACCAGCTCCTGGTGCAGGCAAAGTGAGGATTTCGCCACTGGGTCATTGTCAGGGCTCTGGCAAACAGTTTTATAAACAGATTTATGCAGCTGGCATGATAGCTCAGTTGGCTAATCCTCCTCCTGCAAGTACAGGCATTCCACATGGGCACTGATTCATGTCCTGGCTGCTGCAATTCCCAACTACCTGCTTATGACTTGAGAGAGCAGCAGAGGATGGTCCAATGCTTTGGGACCCTGCACCTGTGTGGAAAACCTGGAAGAAGCTTCTGGCTCCTGGCTTCAGATTAGCTCAACTGCTTCACTTCTGAGCGACCTCCCTGCTAATGCACCTGGGAAAGCTGTGGAAAATGGTTCAAGTGCCTGGGCTCCTGAACTCACAGGGGAGATTTAGATGAAGCACCTGGCTCCTGGCTTCAACCTGGCCCTTCACCACAGCCATTTGGGCTGTGAACCTTCCCTCTCTCTGCTTTTCAAGTAAATAATAAATAACTAAAACAAAACTACATAAAGACCAAACCAAAAGCCACACTTTCACTTCTGAAATGACTTTCACATTCGACAACTGGAATCAGTGAATCTAATCTCTATTGAGAAGGGCTGCCCTTTCCCTCCCCTGAGTTCCTCTTTCCTGTTTCTCAGCATTTCCATACTTAGTAATATCAAACTTCAAAACAGGTTTTTTTTTTTTATTACATGAGAACCTGCTGTGAGTCACAGCAACAGAACAGAGTCTTATTTAAAAAAAAAAATTTGGACAGTTTTTCTCTACACTTTTCTAAATATTTTAAATGCTTATAGAGAGTATAAGAGCTGATATTTTAAGCCTAATTCACCACAAGAGAATTATAAAGAATTTAAGCATTCCTTTACTCTACCAACACTACAAAGTAGCAAAATAAACAAGGTAAAAATGTTACTCAAAGGCCTCAAACTTGTCTTTGCCTTCACTACCAACAACAAAAATGACGAGTTGGCTGAAAAAAAAAACCAGAGTCGCCAAGAATTACACATCCAGCACAGTCCCTAGAGATTTTTCATTTAGAAAGCAGACAGGAAGCGAGTCATTGAGCACCAGCCCTGGGAAGAAAAGTGAGTGATACATTGTGGCTTTTACAAGAACAACCGATTTCACAAAAGAAACTCCAAGCTTGAAACACCTGTTTTCTTTCTTCTCCAAAGTAACAAATATGCTGGATACAAAGTTAGAAGACCCTGAAGCACAGATCTCAAATAAGACTCAAGAAGCAACATCGCTACATTTCTGAAAGCTGGGAGCCTTGCACAAGATTAACACAGCAAAGATGCTGAAGACCTAATTATAAATTGCTCAGAAAAACATGGATTGCTTGTAGCAACGTATATCGTATAAATCAAAACGTGATCATACATAGTTAATTGCACAGGGTTTATAAGGCGAGTTTATCTTTTGGGATTCTCTGGCAGTGATATTTTACAACATAATTATATATAAAGTCTGCAGAGCCTGATGTATTTCCTCATTGGAAGTGTACGGCGGCGAAACGTTTTATTATTCATTTATTGCCAGTCACGTTGTTCACACACCTCTGCAAAGTAACGTTCCCTTTGTAACTGCGGTTACTAGACTGCCCCACGCCGTGCCGGGGGACACCGGCGTCCAAAACAGTCTTCCCCCCGGACGAGTTTCAAACACCAGGATGGAGCATCACACACAACTTTTACATAATAATAAAAGTACTGAATGTCTTCAGCCCCTGAAAGACTGAGTACCCCCTCATAGTAAAAGACAAGGACAGGAGCCAATCGCCAGGCAGGATCCTAAGGTCTTAGCCAATAAGGACATGGGGGTGGGGTTAAGACTAAGCTCCCGGTGACTTCCCCGCACCCCGGAGACTTAGGTTGTGGGAAACTGGGAGGGAATTGGACTCCAAGAATATCGTTACCCCCGGTTGTAGCTGTTTTCCTCTTCGTTCTCGCAGTCGCTGCAATGATCATGGCCGTTCCCATTCCCTTCCATCATCTGCGGCAGTGAAGGTGCCGGCAGCTTCACTGCTGTCTCACTCTCGTCCGCCATCTTGAGTTGCGAGAGCCGGGCTCCGCGCCCCGCTACATGGGGGGTTCCTATTGGATGAAGGACACAAGCACCGTCTTCTGGGTCTCGTAGTTTTTGCAGGGGAGGGACCGCCACTTGGGAGCGGCTCTTAACCAGGAAGTCAGAACAGCTGGACTACAATGCCCAGAAATCATGAGGGCAGGCTGTGGGAGGTGGGAACAGAAATACCCGGAAGACTGCGGGAGGAGAACGGCCGCAAGGTTGGTCGGGCAGAAGTTGACCGTTCCGGTGGTCACGCCGCATGCTGGGAGTTGTAGTTTGAGGATGAATGGGGTTGCGGGCGTGGAGGTTTCAAAATCCAAAGTTTGCCTTCAACCTGCCCTTGTTAGCGCCGGAACCGCGGGCGAGCGGTTATTGGTTTCCGTTAAGGACCTTTGTCATTCCCGGGTAAGTGATAGAGCTTGAGGCCGGAGGGTATGACTGGCGGGGACCCCGGACGCCCAGGCTTTTTGGAAGGGGCTTTCTTGTTAAAAGCCGCGGTTGGCTCCCAGCCACCTTTCTCAGCCAGGAGCGTGGGCAGCCTCCGGCCGAGGGCATTTCAAAGGCTCCTGACAGGCGGCGGATTACGATGTGCGGTGCACTGACCCGGAGTCCGAAGGCCTGGTCGATAGGCAGGCAGGGCTCGCCGGCCCCGGGCCTGCAGGTATCCGGTTCCAAGCTCTCCCGCTCACTTTGCTCCACTCAAGTACCCCGCATAAGGCCTTTCATGGGCACTGAAGTGCCAGGCTCTGCGGGAAGACGTATTGCACTTTATCTCCTGTAATCCGCTCAGCTAGCCTTGCCTGGGATGTGGGAGCCCTTTGACCCTCCTGCACTCGCGGAACACCTGCGACTCGCAGGGACTGGAAAATGGCAGGCACCTAGCTAGTGAGCAGCCGAAGCAATCTTTGTGTCCCAGTGTCTGAAATCCAGGCTCCTCGAATCCTACACCGTCACTGAAGTCCCATCGTGTCACGTTGGGCAACCCCACCCAGAAACCCATCCTGTGTTAAACTGGACTGCATTGCCCCAGGCCGTTAGTGTCATTCCTATGATGATGAATCATCTCCCCTGAGCACCGAGAGAGGGCCCAGAACGATGGGGTCCTCTTGCTAGAGTTCCTTCATGGGTGGAGGACAGCGGGTAGTGCCAGAAGGGTTGATGCTCACCAGTAGAGAGCTTCTGTGGCCAGACAGGTCACTGAAGGAAGAAGGGCCAAGCTAGGGGAGGAACGACTTCCATCTGACTCAGGGAAAGAAAACACAAAACGTGGAGCTAAACATAGGCTTTTCCATCAGTGACAGGGACAGCGAATGCGACCCAAAGCCACAGATGGTCCCCCAAGACTTATATTTGTCTTTGGAAGGCGGTCTGAGAAGCCCACTGGGCTGAGAGCCATCAGCCACGCTGGGGCTGCATAGAGCCCAGGCTGATGCACCACAACGCCTTCCATGCAGCTGCAGGGTCAGGGAAAGAGAGGGTAATAATAACCCCACAGGCGGAATGTGGATTTAACAGTGCCAAGTGGTTCCCCTACTTTAGTTCTTACAGCGCTCTGGGGTGGTTAGGGAAGGGAGCTCAAACAAAGTTGCAGAAGTACGACTTCCAGCTGACACCAGTGGCAGGACTTGGGCCAGCACTCATGTCTCATGATGCCCAGACCTGGGGCAGCTTTGCAGGAATTGAGTGAACAGTGATCAAGCGTAAGCAAGGAAGAGGATTCCAGGGGATGAAGGGGCTGCTTTATGTGGATTCTGCCCTTCGGTAGTTCGAAACTTAAGCAAGAAACCCCTCGCCTGTATTTTGTTTGTAAATGTTTATTTTTGAGGATGGTTCAAAGGCTAAATCCTCACCTTGCAAATGCCTAGATCTTATATGGGTTCCGGTTGGTGTCCAGGGTGCTCCACTTCCCATCCAGCTCCCTGCTTGTGGCCTGGGAAAGCAGGACAGCCCAAAGCCTTGGGACCCTGTACCTGTGTGGGAGACCTGGAGGAAGCTTCTAGCTCCTGGCTTTGGATCAACTCGGCTCTAGCCATTGTGGCCATTTGAGAAATGAACCAACAGTTGGAAGACTTTTGTTCTCTGTATCTGCTTCTCTCTGTAGATCTGATTTTCCAATAAAAATAAATAAATCTTCAAACAAAAATTTAAAAGCAGAGACTTTCTCTTTAAAATCTATTTTTATTTGCTTGAAAGACATAATTATATATACAGAGAGGAGAGAGATATCTCCCATCTGTTGGTTCACTCCACAAATGTGTGCAGCATCCAGGATGAGGCCAAACTGAAGCTGGCTCTTTTCCATGGGTGGCAGAGAAGTGCTTGACCATTCTCTGCTGCTCCTGGGGTGTACTAGCAGGGAGCTGGATGTGGGATGCGGATGTCCCAGGCTGTGGCTTCACCTGTACCGCACCACGATGCAATACAGCTGCCCAACATTGTAGCACAAATGGAGAGGTTTTGCCTAGTGGAAGACCTTTCTGGAAGGTAAGCAAGTACTGTGGCTGTTGTGACCAAGGTCAGAATGTTGAAGACACATCGGGTGCTTGGTCCCTGTGACACTGGAGACCTGGATGCTGCTGCCAACTCCTGGCTTCGGCTTGGCCTGGCACATACTGCCGCCAAGTGAGGGGTAAGCCAGTGAGTGAAAAATCTGCCTCTCCCACTGTCTGTAACACTTTCAGAAAAAAAAAAAAGTAACGACAACAGAAAAGTAAACCCGGAGTTCTGGTCAGTGTCAGAAGGGACCTCAGAAACTCCTATTCCCTTTTTGTGCTTCACAAATACCCACAACAGCCTGGGCTAGGCAGGTAGTCAGGCTTCGAACCAGAATCTCTGATATGGGATGCAGGTGTTCAGGCAGCCGCTTAGCCACCTGCCCCCAAAGGGTATGTTTTTACAGATCTTCGGTACATGTGGTCCCACTTGTTAACTGACCGCCTGCCATTTTGTTGCCTGTGTTTGTTTGGATTCACAATCGCTTTGTTACAGAATGACAGCCCAAAGCAGGACAGTGTCAAGTTTTCAAAAGAGTTGTACATATTCCCCCACCCCTACTCCTGCCTGGAGAGCTTTCCACTTTTAGACCGCTCCAGTTGGTGAAAGTTGGCCAAATTACACCTTTAAGAGTTACCAAAAGATGCATCCCCTGTCCTTTTCATTACATTGTCAACAGTGCGTATCTAAGACTCCTTTTCAGCAGGGGAGCCCTCCCAACTCTCAGAGTTCATTGATATGGGGGGTCAGGACGCTCCCACTTGGCTCAGCTGGTTCTTCCCGTCCGCCCTCCCCAGCAGGGACATGGCAAGAAGAGGGTGGCTGGGGGGCATCCCTGTGAAGCACCACAGATTCTGAAGTTGTCCCCTCCTGTAGCTAAGAGTGTGGGCTCCCGGGGGAAGCTGTGCATGACAACAGTCTACACTTGGGGCTGGAGTTTGTGGCCAGCAGTTCAGAGGCAAGCTGGGCTGTGAGAAAAAGGGTGGTGTCTCTTACTAGTGCAAATTATATTTACTCCAAACTTAACAAATAAGGTGTCACAGCCTTCACCTGCTGATCCTGAAAAACAGGGTGAGGATCCATAGCACCCTCAAACCACACATTGTTCCCAGAAAAAAAGGGACCAAAAGATGATTAAAGTAATGGAGTCCCTGCTCCTGACCCTGACCTGACCTACTCCTGGCTATTGTGGGCATTTGGGGGAGTCACCCATCAGATTCATAGGGAGGGCCTTTGTTTTCTCTGTCTCTCTCCTTTTCCTATAAATCAGATCATTTCAAAAACGAGTGTGCATGGTCCCGGCATGGCAGCCTAGAGGCTAAAGTCCTCACCTTGCAAGTACCGGGATCCCATATGGGCAACAGTTCATATCCCGGCTGCTCTACTTCCCTTCCAGCTCTCTGCTTGTGGCCAGGGAAAACAGTCAAGGATGGCCCAAAGCCTTGGGACCATGCATCCACGTGAGAGACTTAGACAAAGCTCCTGGCTCTTGGCTTCAGATCAGCTCAGTAACAGCTGTTGCAGCTACTTGGGGAGTGAACCAGCAGATGAAATACCTTTCTGTCTCTCCATCACTCTGTAAATTTGGATTTCCAATAAAAATAAGTAAATTTAAAAAATAATAATAAAAGAGTGTGCCGGGCAACTTCTCCCCAAAAGTCACTTAAAGTGAAATTATGTATATATATATGTATATATATAATGTATATATATATATACACATGTATATATATATACACATGTATATATATATATACACATAAAGATGCATTTGAAAATAACAAGGTCTGACCACATGTGGTTAAATGACCAGTGAGCCTGAGCAAGACAGATAAGTGAAGGAGGGGTGGGTGGGGTTGCTGCTTCTGGGCAGCTTCATGAAGGAAGCTGACCTTGAAATGGTCTTGGAGGCTACTCACACCCTGCCTCTGGACCCCCTCCTGAGCTGGAGTCCATCTGCAATTTTATTTTGGTGTGATGGCTTTTGGACATTTTCCCCTCACAAGACCTGTGCTCTAAGAGAGCTGACAACAGGTTGCATTTTTCTTTTTAAGATTTATTTTCATTTGAAATACACATTTACAGGGAGAAGGACTTCCATCCACTGTTTCTCTCCCCAAATGACCGCAACAGCTGGAACGGAGCTGATCAGGAGCCAGGAGCTTCTTCCAGGTTTCCCACACAGATGCAGGCGCCCAAGAAGTGAAGCCATCCTCCACTGCTTTCCCAGACCATAAGCAGGGAGCTGGATGGGAAGTGGAGCAGCTGGGATCAGAACCAGCGCCCATGTGAGATCCCAGTGCTTGCAAATGGAGAAGTAGCCTGTTGAGCCACCATGCCAGCCCCAAGAGGTTGTATTTTCCTTAGCTCTGCGTCCCTTGGGCTAGTACACCGTAAGCCATCAGTTAACAACTTCTGGAGTCTCATATCTAAGAGTGAGTGAACAATGAGAAAGAACAGTTATGACTTTCAGCCTGGAGAATCGTAGCAAGCAAAGAACAGAACCAGGAAGGCTGGGAAACCCAACCCCTCTTGTTTATATGCGGCATTTGCCACTCAGCACACACAGTGCACACCCTTGCTTGGCTTTCAACCATGCACAGTCTTGTCTGTCCCTGTGTGTTGAACAGCACAGGTGTTATTCCCATTGTACAATGAGAAAACAGGAGTTCAGTGCTTTGTCCTGTTTCGCTGCTATTTAGAGTAGTGTTCAGACTTGAACCTGGTTGATGTAACACAAAGCCTGGTGCAATGACTAGATCACACTTCCCCCTCCGCTTCCCCAAGGGAGAGCATATGGTGAGACATATGTCTGGAGTGGTGAGCTGGGCCAGTCATGAAAGACTTTAAGTTGCAGGTGAAAGAGTTTGGACTTTATCTTCTTAGTGGTAGAGCCTGTGGGAGATTTTTGT